GGGACGGGGGTTGGTGTGAGCGGGGGCCCGTCCTTACCGATTGCGCAGCCTCGGCGGCTCCCGAGGGGCCCTCCCGGTCCTTGGCCTCGCTGGAGACGCGAAGCGGGCGGTTGGAGCCATGAGGATCAACCAGAACACCCGGGTGCGAGGACACAGGGTGGCCCTGGTGCCTTACAGCCCTGCACACGTGCCCCGGTAGGTGGTTCGTGTTCCTCCCCGCCATGTCCCTGCGCTGCTGCAGGGCAGCCTGGTGTGGGGAGGGCGCTGCTGTGGCTGCGGGGCCTCTGCCCCCTGGGGACTGCGCAGCAGAAAGAGCACGGGTAGAAAGGCAGCCTGCCCTCCAGCTCTGCTGACTGAGAGGACCTCAGCTGTGCCAGTGTGTGCACACAGAAGGGGAGACACCACCAACAGCTCTCTTGTTCACTGGTGTCTTTCCCTAATGACAGTGGAAGAGCAAAACTTCCGTGTGTGCAGCCAGCTGGACATTTGATCAATTGGAAGAGACATGCGTGGGGTTTGTAACATGCTGACCTGGGTAGCAGCAGCCTCAGAGGTGCCCATGTTAGTCTTTTTGTCAGTGCCCAGGAGACGCTGTGTCAGTTTAAGTCAGGATGAGATGTGCAGGTGCTCAGTTCTTTTTAAAACACCGAGTTTGCATCAGGCACTCTTCAAACAAATCCACAGGAGGGACAAACTCCCCAAATCCCCACAGAAAGCACCAATTCCTGGGTGAGAGAAGGGAGAGAAGGGTGACTTCAAACTACCTTGTGGATACTTTTCAGTCACCGTCAGTGCCAGGCTGGTGTTTCCAGACCTGGCTTTGTGGAGCAGCTGTGGAAATCCACCTGCAGTGCTGCAGCTGAGGCAGTGCCCTGGTTCTGGGTCCCTTCTCCAGGTACCACGAGTGGATGCAGTCGGAGGAGCTGCAGCGCCTGACCGCCTCGGAGCCGCTCAGCCTGCGCCAGGAGTACGAGATGCAGCGCAGCTGGCGGGATGATGCTGACAGTGAGGGCCTCCAAACTATCCTCAGGGTGGGTGGGAGTGCTGGGCAGGTCCCCTCTGCCTCGGTAAAGGACCCACAGTAGGCTGAGAGCTCCCGGTGACTGGGTATACCTTCCTGAAGCAGGTGAGACCTGCAGCAGGAGCTTTCTGGTAGAGCTGGTTCATGCCCAGCAAAGCAGAGAATCTGTGTGGCTGTGAGTGTCCTTTTTTATGCAGTATTTAAAGGTTACAGTCATTTATGTGTTCCTGTACAGTCAATGCTCCCCAGGCCTGGTCATCATAAAAAGGTGGCAGGGGTTGTACTTCTTTTCTTGAAATTTTTTTCTTGAATTACTCTATAATTACCTGGTTGAGGGGTGGAAAGAGGGGAGATCTAAGTTAGACATGAAGAAGAAATTCTTCACCATGAGGGTAGGAAGGCACTGGAACAGGTTGCCCAGGGAGCTTGTTGATGCCCCCTTCCCGGAGGTGTTCAAGGCCAGTTTGGGTGAGGCTTGTGCAGCCTGGTCTGGTGGGAGGTGTCCCTGCTCATAGCAGGGGGTTGGAACCTGATGATATTTAAGGTCCCTTCCAACTCAAACCATTCTATGATTCACTCTATGATTCTATGACTATATTGGTTTCCTGGCTGTCCTACCAGGTAATTAATCACTGCCCATAAAAGCCTGGTAGAAACACAGTGAGCTGCAAAATACTGAGACTGGCAAAGACCTCAGCCTGGAGCATTTGTCTTAGCTGACATTAAAAGCCAAAATAAGACAGACTAGGTGAATCACCAGGTCTCTTGTGCACCAAACAGCTCTTTGCCCAGACTTGCTGCTGAGTGAGACAAGGCAGGAAGAGACCTCAGTCATGGGGTGGAAGTTTTCATACTCCTTCAAGAGGCAGTTTCTAGTCCTGGTGTCTGAATCACCCTCATAACGGGCTCATAAAAATATTTCTTAGCATTTCCAGGGAAGGGAGCAGGAACACTTGGCATGGGGAGCCCGATTATTAGCTTTTCCTCAATGTGCAAAGTGTTGTTCCTCTGTCCATTGCATGCTGTTCATGTCATCCTTCAGCAATTTGTGATGAAAATGCTGCTGCTTTTGCTTTCCCCAGAGTGCACCTTCATCGTGCTGGACACAGAGCGGTGGTGTGGGCAGGGGCGCACGGATCAGGACTGCATGGTGGGAGATGTCAACCTCTTCCTCACTGACCCTGAGGACCCCACCTTGGGAGAGATTGAAATTATGATTGCAGGTCAGGTTTTGCTTCCAAACTTCAACCTCTGTCACCGTGGCTGAAGCCAGCTGTGGGCAGATGTTACATGCAGCAGCTTTTTATTCTCATGGTGTTACCACAGCTGTGCAGCCCCCATCAGCCTCCTTTGCTGGTCCAGGTCACAGTCTCTTCTGAAGTGTCTGGGGTGGCTGATTTGTCTCTTTTCACTGGATGCTGACTTCTGTGGCTGTCTCTTTCAGAGCCCAGCTACCGAGGCAGAGGGTTTGGCAAGGAGGCAACTCTGATGATGATGTCCTATGGTAAGGGTGGCTTAAAGCACAGGGAGTGCAGTTGGGATGTGATCTAGAAGCAGATATTCCCAGTGACACAGACAGGGCAGTAAGGGATCCATCTGCCCCAGAAACTGGAGTCCCCTGCCTTTGTAGGTGTGGCAACTGAGCAGGTTATAGAAGTACTTCTCTTTCTGGTTTCTTTTGCAGGAGTGAAAAACCTGGGGATCACTAAATTTGAGGCAAAGATTGGTCAGGAGAACAAACCCAGTATCTGCATGTTCAAAAAGCTTCATTTTAAGGAGGTACTGTAATAGCCCACCCTCTTCATAGAGAACATGAGCAGTGTTTTCCCTCTTGACTGAGCTGTTTTTCATCTTTTTGACCCAGGTTGCTGTGAACAGTGTTTTCCAAGAGGTAACACTGAGGCTGGATGTCAGTGACCAGGAGAAACGGTGGCTCCTGGAGCAGACAGACCACGTGGAGGAGAAGAGCTACACTGAAGTGAAGCTGCCAGATGAAGTGCTGGAGACCTGACAGACACATCCAGACAGGGGCCTGGCTTCCAGGGAGGAGTTGGACACGGGTGTGGAGGACACCAGTGAGCCAGCACTGCACTTGACTCTTCTAATCTGTCTTCTTTGGTTACTTTGTCATCTTGTCAACTTTGCACATTGTTGCAGCAGCAAGGAATACTGCCTGAAATTTGGACCTGGAAAACAGCCACTAATTCACAGCCTTGACTGGGGGTCACTGTAACTAACACACTGTTCCAGCAGAGCCTAAAATCACCAGCAATTAATTGAATGCTGGTGCTGCCAGTTTCTGGACAAGCAGCACCCACTGTTTCTCATTCTACAGCCTTAGAGCCAGATTAATCAGTTTGACAGAGTCAGTCTCAGGGTGCTGGTAGCTCAGTCAGTTTTCTCTGAATAAAAAAACTGGCAAAGATCTGAGGTACCCAAGCACCATCTGGGAGCAGCAGGGCTCAGCTGCTGGCTTTGGCTGCTGAAGGGGTGGATAGAAGCTGTGAAGGACCCCAGAGACCTTTGAACCCTGTGCTCTGGGGTGGGTTGTACTGCTGGGGTCTGGGTGAGCACAACCAAGTTAACATGATGAAAATGATTGATACCAACTGACCAAGACTGGAGCAGAGCCTCGCCAGGATCACAACAGAAAAGGGGAGCTGCAGGAGGCTGCTGAGGCACAACCCTGTGACTTTTAGGCCTGTACTTTGGACCTGGAAACCTCCATGATGGGACATTGCACTTCATTTTATCAGGAGAACACAACTGAAAGAAGACAGACTGGTCCCTGCTTCTTCAAGTAGGTCAGGACCTAGGCAGGAGCCAGCCAGGCTGCCTCTGCTGTGCTGTGCCCGAGATCTGCTGCAGAGGAGGCACTTGCCTGACCCCCCCTGGACAGAGTTTTTAATGCAGCTATTTAGCCTGACCTTTCCTGCCCCACGCAGCACATTGTCCTCAGCAGGGAAGCCTTCTAAGCGGAGAGGACAGAAGGTAAGGAGGGTAACAGACGTTCCTGCCTGTTTTCCCACTGTAAAAGCAGCCATAATGGCTAATTCTAGACAAGAAATTATTTGTTCCAATTACAAAGCATCAGGTAATAGCTTTTAGATTTGCCCAGGGGTGTTTTTGTCTGCAGTTGGTAGACTCTGAAATGTTTAGTGTTGCTCTGCCTGTATTTGTAATGCCTGGGGGTTCTAGTTTTCCAGTTTTAGTTCATTTAAATACATAATTCCTGTGACTAACATTAAAACCAAACACAGGAACAGTGTATTTTAAACAAGTATTTAGTGTGGCTTTAGTTGGAGCCAAAGCTTTGTGGAGTAATAAATTGAAGAGCAACTCTACTTCCAGCTGGGATTACCATGATGAGGGCCACTAATCCTCCTGCTCTTTGTCACCTGCTGCAGGCAGGAATGGATTTTGTCCCCTGAGGGCAAGATCTGCAGGACCTGCTGGGTGAACTGCTGGCTCTGTGCTCCTTCCCTGGAGCCTTTCACCCCCTGCCAGAGAAGCAAGGTCAGAATGGCAGGAGAGACATAGCTGGGGTGGGATTTGCTCCACTAAAAAGTGACCAAGGTGGGAAAAAATATTTCATTAAAGCTGTGCTGGCAGGGTCAAGGGGGACACAGTGAAACCGTGCTGCCTTCCCTGTCACCACCACAGTTCTCTGTCCAGGAGTGGTTGCTCTGGAGCTGCCAGCTTCCTGCTTGGCATCCTGGGTCCCCAGGCAACGCCAGCACACCCCTGCCTCCACGGGTGGCTGGGAAAAACCTTCACCCTGGCAACCCAAAACAAAGTGGGGTCTGTCCCAGACCCACAGCCCTCCCCTGGGTTGGGGGGGGGGGGTGGTCCCAGCAGGTCTCAACCAGGGTTCCCACAGGGAAGCAAGTCCCCCAGGCTGCTCAGACCAGGCAAAGATATAAAATACTCTCCCAGGTCCCACCCCCTCACCCCCCGAGTGCTCCCACTTCTGCCCCACATGAGCAGCCCCAACCCATGGCATCACACCCCATCTTGGGCAGGGACACCCTGCTTGTCCCAAGGGGGTAGGGAGGGAGGAGGCTCCAGGCTTGGGCTTGTCCCTCCAGGAGAGCTGCTGCCCTCCAGCCAGACCAGCAGACACAGATTAGAACCTCACATCCCTCCCCCCCTTTGCCCTTCCCAAGGGATTAAAGCCCTTTAATCACCCTGAGGCATTAACCTGCACTGGGACCAGCTGGTCCATCCAGACCTCCAGCCTGGCTCAGTGGGTGTCAGAAGGCACTCAAACCAGCCCCAGTGGCCACTGGGAGCCTTACCTGCTTCTTCCCCCATCCCCAGCAGCACAGGGGGCCCCAACAAACCCCTGCACATCCTGGGCTTCAGAAGGATTTAGCCTTAACCCAGACATATGAAGTCAGGAAGGTTTATTCCAGTAAACAGAATTTTCTTGAGCTGGACAGTATGACAACACCCAATTGCAAAACACAAAACATCCACAGGAAGAATTTCCACAAAATACATTAAAAAAAATAAACAGTGTGATTGGAAAACTCTTATTTTGGAAAAAAACAAGAGTCTATTGAGAAACCTTTAAATTAAACAGTGTCAGATTCAAACCCTGATCGGCTCTGTCTGCAGGAGTGAGTGGGAGCAAAGGAGATAATTATTGCTTGCTGTGCTGGCTCCAGACACCCTCTCCTCTCCCACAACAGCCCCAGGGGAAGAGTACTGGGGAGTCCCTGCTGTGTGAGGCACCCGTGTCCCTCCTTGCACTGGGACCCAGGGGGGTGAAGGGACAGGGTCATCATGGACGGAGCTTGCCAGGCAGGGACAAACACCATGGGGAGGAATCCCTGTGGTTGGTGGCTGGGCAGGTGGGGTTTTGCTAAAAGTAACTAAAAGCCTTGAGTTTTGCAGTTAAAGGGCAGTTGGGGTGGGACTCAAAAAAGTGATGGATTTTGGGGTGGGGGAAGAACCAGGGAACACAGGGATCAGAAGTGTTGGTCATTGGACCACCTCAAATAGCCAATCCTCCCCAAACCCCAGCTTCTGCCTACTGGGGTGTGCAGGGCTTCAAGGCAGGGCTGCAGGAGCACCCTGCAGACAGGCTCAAGGGGGTCAGACCCCAGCACCCCCCCAGCTCTTTCTAGCCTAAAACCACCACCTGGGCCCCCACTGTGGTGATGTTCACTGGCCACTGAGCCCCATACCCTTGGGGAGCAGCCCCACATCCCCAGCAGGGGCCCACAGTGGGGAGGAGGGGGATGCAGGAGAAGTGGGTGTGAGGCCAGGGGGGGCTAGTGGACCCTCTCCCCCCCACCCGGGGTCCTTCACAGGTTACTGAACAGTTCATTTTTCTTGCTCCAGTCCATCTGGGGTGCTCGCTTGCTGGTGCGCTTCTGGTGTGCCCGCTCCTTGGCCACTGCCAGCGGGATGTCCAGGTCCAGGAGGGACCCGGGTGCTGAATGGCGCTTGTCACCCTCCTGTGTGTCAGCCTGGGGGGAGAGAGGCTGCATCAACCCCACTGTGACCCCCAGGACAGCCCCCGTGGTCAGCCCAGACCCCACTCTCCAGCTGCCACCTCCCCCCAGCCCTACCTCGCTGTGAGTGTCGCTGGAGACGGGGGACACGGCCAGTGGGGTGGGACTGGACGGGCTCTCGGACACCGAGTTGGACCTCAACTCTCTGCCGTTTTCCTGGGGGGTGGAGCAAGGGAGTGAACATGAGAAGAGCAGCTCCAGCCCTGGAGTTTGGGAGCAGCCACTGGAGTTTTGATTTCTGCCTGGGGGGGGGCTACAAAATCCATCCTCCCCCCACATAATCCCCTGTGTGCTCCAGGCTTATAAATACCTTTAGCACTGCCCATCCAGACTGGGGAAGGATTAAACACCAGCCTGACTGCTCCAGCTTTATGGGGAGGAGGATGATGGCTGAGGGGATGGTGGCTGCAGGGCTGGATGCTACTTCCCTGCAGCAGCACAAGGAATCCCAGCCCAGCAGCATCATGAGGATGGAGGAAGGAGGCAGCTTTGCAGCCACCCCCATAACACTCAGCCCCACAAACAAACTCCTTCCTGGGAGACACCAGCTCCTGATCCCCTTCCTGGTAGCACCTGCTCTTGTATGACAGCCTGGGAGCATCACAGTCCCCAGTGGCATCACCCCCCAGCTGTGGGCAGAGGGACACCCAAACAGGCAGGGTCCTGAGATAGGCATAGAGGGGATGAAAAGCAAGAGGTTCTCTTACCTTCTCAATATCGCCGTTGGCAACTGGTTCTGGCAAGGGACCTGCAGGGGTGAGGACATGGGTGCTGGGTGAGGACACATTTGCTCTGTTCCTTCACCAGTGGACACAGCAGTGCCTGGCAAAGCCACATGTGGCCACTGCTCACCCAGCACTGCCCAGAACCTGGCTGGGTCCCACATTTTTAACCCACTCCTCACAGCCAGCCCTGCAGCACAGGGAGATGCTGTGGGGGACCAGGTACATCCCCGTGACAATAGCCATGACATGAGACCCCCCCCATCCTCCCATGGAACACTGTGACAGCAGGGAGGGGACATGACTGAGCCAAGATTGCAGAGGAGAATGAAGTGCAGGTGCTGCCTGTTCACTCCCCAAGCCATAAACCCTGCCAAAGGGCAACCAGGGCCATAAACCTGCCTCCCACAGAGCCCACATCAGCCCCACCACCGAGATACCAAAGCCAAGCAACCCTGCTTAGCCCTGGGGTGATGAAACTACACCCCCTCCCAGGGCTTGGGGGCTCCTCCAGCACCCCCAGCTTTGCTGACAATGCGACACAGAGCTGGCAGAGGTGACACAAACCCCCCTCCCTGCAGCACAGCCCCCAGCCCACCTGTCAGGTGCTCCTCTGAGGGCACCACCTTGCACTTCTTGAAGAACTCATCTGTGAGGACATCCACCACCAGCAGTGTAGTCTCGTCGCCACCTGCCTTGATGGCTGCCACCACATCAGCGTGCTGCTTGCCCTCCATGCACACCCCATTGACCTGCAGGCACAGCACCATGTCACCACTGGGGCTAGGGGGGGACATCTGCCCCTCAGAAGCTCCATGGAAAGATCAGGTACCAGCCCTGGTACCAGTCACAGCCCCAGCACAGCCACCCCAGAGGCCCTGCAGGTACCTGCAGCCTTGCAGGGATTAGTGGTGAAGGCAGCAAAACCTCATTAAGAGCAGATTTTCCTCCAAGTGATTAGCACAGGATGGCATGGACAAAGCTGGCAGGGAGCACCCTGCAGGGCAGGGACCTGCCAGGAGATGGGCAGCACAGGCACAAAGCCCTCGTGCCATGGCATGGTCCCCAGAGGCCCCAAAGCTTCTCCCCAGAGGAGGTGGCAGCCCAAGCCCTGGTGAGCAGCAGGTCAGAGCTCAGCAGGTCATTGCCCTCATGGGTCATCATCCCACTTGGCACAAGCTCTGTCCCTGTCCTCACCCCTGTCCCTGCCAGCAGCAGGGCTGGGGCCACCACGCACATTGTCCTCAGCCCACCTCGCCCCAGGGACAACCCAGGGACACTCCTGCTACAAAAGCAGAGGACAGAACTCCTGCTGCTTCACCCACAGCCAACTCATTAGTGCTCAGCCCTCTGCAGTGCCTCTCCCTGTCACCTATCCAGCTGCACCCCTGGGTGGGGACTGGGCGGCTGTGCCATGAGTCACCAGGGGCACGGGGGACACCGCACACCACCCCAGCAAAGGGCAGCTCTGGGATGCAGGGGAGCACCAAGCTTTTTGGGGAGACACCCCCC